TAAGAACAACCAGAGCTCCGTGTAAGTCAAACATGGAAACCCACTGATCGCCGAAAATGGCTTCGACACAGTTATCTCCGGTAATGAAAATTGATAGCTACAAAAATAAAACTGAAGACAAGGTCTAATGCTGATATATCATTAAACATCAACATAAATTTCAATAAACACTTCATTCTGTGAGTTACAAAAACGCAACACGTGTTTCGGAGTATGGAGAAACACGTGTTGCATTTTTTGTAAAACTGTTGAGTGAAAATCTCACAAAAAAGTGTTTCTTGGTTGTTTGAAGCTTTATCAACTCATTCATACCCTTTCCAAGTTAAGGCAAAAGAGCAGTATCACTTTTTGTATGAACATGAAGAAGTGAAAAGCCAAAACTCTTTTCCCAGTAGTAGTATCATCTTCTTCACATCAACGAGATCTACAGAGTCTACGACCAAACTAATTGCTTGAAAACTTAATTTTTTCCATTAGGTATCAGAGCACTATCATTTATTCTAAATTTCTTGTGAATATAATATAGGTTGAAAGTAAGATTTTTGGTGAAACCTCTTCTCACCTGTAACCTTGCTTACCTTCATTAGAATAATTCAAGAAATCATTACTATTTGTTTACGAATAAAATATATTTCAAATACTAACATTATTATTTCACACACTTTTTCAATTGAAATATATGTTTCAACGATGAATTATTTAATGGCGAACATTTGTGAGATTTGTGCAATATACATGGTAACCGATTCAATATGGTAAAACCATAAAAATATATTTTTCAACAATTCAAATTAATTTTTTTATAACATAGACATTCGAGAAGTTTACTGGAATACCAAATTCCATGAATGATTTTTCGCTTTCAGCACCAACTTTTATTATTTTAAAATGTCAAATATGGAAGAAAATTATTAGCGGTCAACTGACCGCACCACTGGATTCGTGTAGTTTGGAAATAATTTATATGATATTACGTCAGAATGCGTTCGTCATTGAAAAAGTTATAAGGGAATGAAATTTGAAAAATATTCTATTTGATAATAAATTCAATTTTGGAACTTTCGTTTTCAGCGCCAACTTTTATTATTATAGAGGAAAATTATTAGCGTTTTTTTAACTGATCCCACCACTGGATTCGTGTAGTCTGAAAATAATTTATATTAATATCACGTCAGAATGCGTTCGTCATTCAAAAAGTTGAAAGAGAATGAAATTTGAAAAATATTCTATTTGATTATAAGATCAATTTTGGAACTTTCTCAAAATTCTGACTACACCTCAGGATTCAGCAGGTTTTGGTTTATCACTCACCATAATTTCATTTATCATGAACATGTTGATCATTAACAATAATTCAAGCTGATAACGAAATTTCGATTCTAAACAAAATAATTCCAATCAGTATAATCAAAGCTTCATTTGAAATTGAAATACTAGGAAAGCGGGTTTTTCAGAAATTTGTCTTACATACTTATATTCAGTTCTACAAAAATTTAGATTACCTACAGGGTACGACTTCCATTATCTAAAAAGGTGATAAACTCAGTATGATATACGGTACCCGGATTAATTGATCCCAAAAAGTGTTTTATGAACACAGCCTCCACAAGTGTCGAATAAATATGTTCTCGTTACATAATATCCGTAGGTGCACATAAATCAAGTAATAACACCACAATTATTTCAGTTATTCAAATCCCGCTTCGCTCTTTGAAAAAGGCTTTGGGTTGACATCAACTGTGACAGCTTTTTATATTCAGCACTGAATTTTATGGAACTCGTGTGGGAAGAACCTTTATTAAAGTTGATTGCGTAACTGAGTTATAGTTTGATTGTTTCGTGTGAGCTCAGTTCCTTATATGTCATCGTTATTTTTGTAGGCGGAATAATGACATTTGAAATAAGTGTTCTGGCATGATTTATTCGTTTTCGGTTGGGAAGATGACAAAAACAATGTTCTTGGTTTAGATTGCTATTTTTCTAGACAGTTAAATCAGTGGAAGGTATGGAAAAGTGTGGAATTAATGTGTGAACAGTTAGAGCCAACTTTTTGTTTCATTAGTGGTAGGGTCTTTAGATTAACGTCAAACTTGTCTCGTATAATTTGAAACGTTGATCTATTGCATTCAACAAATCATAACAAAAAATCTAGTGAAGTATAAATGCAATTAAGAACATCATCCCAATGAAAGTCAAGTCGGTGAAACCGAAGATTTTCATTGTGTGAAGTCATTCAAGATAGGTGGGAAAAAACGTAGGTTAAATTAGGTTAGGTTTAAAGTAAGTTGGTCTATTCAACTCTGTACTCCTACTGTATATATGACTGCTAACCTGAAGATATTGCTAAAGCAATGGATTGAAACTAAATGATATGAATTCAAATTCCACTAACCGCATCCAAATGACTTTACGCTATTCAGTTTACAATTGAAAGGTGATGTCAACTCCCCCTACATAAATGCCATCTATGAGATCGACAGTAGACTCAGTCCCGAATATCAAGGATATACGAGATTTCCCAAGGCGGTCCGTTGTGAAGTCAAGCTTGGGAAGCCTCGTTTATACTGGATATTCGCGGATTGAGTCTCCTGTCGATTCCATACAACGGACCGCCTTGGTGAGTCTCGAATATCCTTGATATTCGGGAACTGAGTCTTGTGTCGATTCCGTAGATGGCGTTTTCGTAGGGTGAGGTGCCATCACCCTTACTTCCAGACTTGTTCTTTCCAGGACAGTTAGTGGTTCAGGCTAGCATCACTGGGAAGACATGGTGGGTCGAAACAGCGTTGTGTGTTTGATAAAAAATCCAACATATTGTTATAATAACATATAATTATATGTAATCGAATTTCGACAGCTCTGTTAAGCCTTAGAAGAGGTTTGAATGTATCTCTAGTTTCCTTGAATGTTTTCATTAAACGATTCCAGAAATAGTTTCAATTTCATTTTCAAAGATATCGAAGCTGTCGACATATTTAAGTCGTTGGAACAAACAAAATAGAAAATTGCTTTTGTTATTGTGTCAAAATTTGTGTGAAGACATGGAGAAAGTGGATGAAGCTAAAGCAGCAATGAGATGAACGATTAATTTTTTTTTATTCAGAAATGTGTATCTGGCACGTCACATTTCACAAAAAAAACTCTGATGAAAATTCAATAATTTTACCTCACATTGCCCAAAAAGTATAATATAATCATTGTGAAGGAAAGCTGTGTGGTTTTCACGAAATACCAAAGACAGATTTGTTCAGCAAAGGAAAACATGCCCTTTTTTCCCATAGATATCTCTAGTTAGGGAAATCAATACTCATGGAGTCTCTGAAAATACTATATAGGTAAATGAAATAATCACAATCATTCAACCTTATATAAACTTACATATCTCAATGAATACAGTAACGATACGCCTGAAAAAGCTATTGTATAGCGAAATACATGTAAAAGTGTTCAGTGAAAATCTGACAATAAAGTGTTTCTTGAAATGAGTCATTTCTCGTTAAGATATTTTTTTATCATAGATATCAAATTCCTTTGAATTTTAAATTTCTTAGCCCATAAACAACTGAATGGCGATGTATACAATGATTTCGGCCATATATTTCGCAACCTCATGAAATATATACGAATGTTGATTTATTGAATTTATAATGATAATGGTTTCATCTAATAATCGATCACTATTCATTTCTTGTCAGCATTTTATTTATTCGTATATATTCCAAACCTAAGGCGGATCCTCAGAGTTATTTCATAGAGTTTCTACCCAATTCCAAAAGTGCAATTATCAAAACAAATTTTCCATTTTGTTTCAGTACTTTGCCCTACTCATTACCATTAACATTCAATAGTTGTTTAAAGTCATATAAACACATGTTTTTTCACTTTCAATTGTTTGTAATGAATCAATTCCATTTTCAGTCCTCAGACAGTACGATATATACAATATGTAATGTTTCAAACGTACCGGTAACCAAAATTGTTGAACAATTGAATTTTTTTACTACTTTTCATTGTCACAACAAACGATTTGAAACAATCTACTTAATTTCGTGAAATATTGATTTATATTAATGCTGTTTAGTTTTGATTTTTAATAGGTAGTATAGATGAATCTAAAAATTAAAAATATAGTTTATGACTACACGGCAAATATTATTCAATATTCGCTTTTCAATAGAATTTAGAATTCTAAAGAACTCATTTATTCATAAATATTCACATTAACGTTCGAACATTTTCTCAGGCAGATATGTAGATTAAACTGGGACAACATTGGTGCATATTTTAAGATATTTTGTCTAGAGATTTTTTTAAGTTCTCAATGTGTAGTTGAATGAGACTATTATTTGAATTTCAAATTTTCTTGGCTTCTTTTCTTTTTTATAGTGACCTTATATTTAAAGGGTTAGTGTCCAGCCAGTTAAATTCAATCTTGACCGGTCCAGTAGACTTGCATCTGCTCTCTCTTATCAACCCTTCACTTCTCTGTGTGTGCGGCGTTGCCAGATATTTTTAGAAGTCTGATGAATTCTGATATCATTTGAATATTTATTTGGAGAAACAGCTTTTTGGATTTCTACTTCTACATCTTCATATAACAAAAATTTTAAAAACTGAATATGACTATTTTATTTTTGCTAAGATTGCATCAATGCACTATCTACTGAATAGTAATCATAATCATTTGTGTTTTTTTGTTATTTATTCTAATAAAAATGATTTTCATGTCGAAAGTTCCATTCATAATCAAAAAGAAATGGAAAAAAAATTGAAATATCGATTTCTCTAAAAGTAATGGATTTCCATTAATCACCTACAATACTAATCATACTTTATGGAAAAATGATCATTCATAAAATCTGAAGATGTATTCAATACTATTCAAAGAATCGCAGTAAATATTCACAGTAGTATTTACGCTCTTTCTTCAATCTGGCAACGTCGTAATCATCTTAGAAGGGGGTTACAATTGGTATCCTAATTGTTGCTTTTGCTTGCAGAATAACGAAGACTTCTGGTCAACGCATCATCATCTTCAGTAGATAAGAGACCATGCGCTAGATTCCTTCTCTTCAACAAAAAAAAGAATCGACAATCGCTTAGCTTTTGCCTACCTGCTTTTGCAAAGAAATCTAATAATTTTGTTCATCTAGTCCACACCACGTAATTACGATAAAAAGGAACAGTGTTTATTTTTTATACGGAACAAGTGATAGTTACTATTTACATAGTTACTCGAAATGGACAATAATTCTACCTGATCTGAATCCTGTTGAATCATTAACAAAAAATTGTCGTGCTACGTCCACAGTGAAATCGCGTCCAACAGTTTAATCAGATAATATTTGCGTGATTTTTTCGGGATAAAAAAAAATCTGACGATCCAGAATGGCGATGCTCAACATGAACAACTTACTAAATGGAAAAGATTCCAGATGGCTGCAACTGGAGGTATGCAGAGAGTTCCAGAGAAATAAGTGTTCCAGACCTGATACAGAATGTAAATTCGCACATCCACCCGCAAACGTCGAAGTCCAGAATGGTCGCGTTACGGCATGCTACGATAGTATTAAGGTGAGTTATTTTTATATAAATTTATACTGAGATTTATACAGTTTTAATCTTCCTCTTTGAAGATGATCACTTGGCGATCGAAACACGTGTCGAGGTGTTAAAAATAACGATTTGGTGTTGGGAAAGTCTTTTCCCAACACCAAATCGTTATACCAACACTGTGTTATACCAACACTGGATTTTTCCAGTAATACACCAAAGATTCCAAACAGTGCATCATAAGTACTGAGATCTTAGACAAAATTGAGTCTCACCAAGTTTCTAGATTATCATAAATATATTCGCCACATTGTCATATAGAAAGTAAATACTGTTTTTCAAAGGATGGAAGCTTTGATTCAATGTATTATGATTTTCAGTAAAAAATATCATAACCGAAAATAGTTTTGTATAAAATATATTTCTATTCGTTAAATCGTTAATTTAGATCTGTTTGACTAATCTTGTCTATCATTAAAAAAACACTTCAAATTCAAGAAAAGACGTACGACGTTATAATTTTTCCTGAACAAAAATAATTAAAAATTCTGAACTCTTATTTTTTTCATTGAAGAGTTCTTTGAGCAATAATTCTAGAAAATTTCAGTACTCACTTTTTTGCTAGTAACTTCTTACTAAGGATGATCTTGAATACTTGATCTTTCAAGTTAACAAAATTAAATCTATTGAATTGACAGTCATATGAAATCGCTGAGTTGCATGTAAACTTGCTAATTAGATAACCTTTTTTTGGGAGTAAACTGGCTTAGGTTTGGTTAACGTAATGGTTATTTAGTGTGTCACAAAAAGTTTTCTATTAGCAGTTTTAAATCGTATTATTTGTAGAAAGTTGCTTAATAATATTCACAAATTTTATTTTCAAATATGAAATCACGGCTTTCTATTTTTTCAATTGATAATAAACAGCAATACCTCCCAACCAAACCAATAATAGAAAATATTTCTCGGACATCTCTTTGACATTCTCTGTTTCGTGTGGAATAAAAATGATTACGAATCTAGAAAAAAAAACCTATTATCAATTCATGTTGGCATGATAATGCCAACATGTTTGTAGTTATACTCTGTCACTTATGGTATACTTGAAGCTGTCTTCGATCAAAATTGATCTCGTTAATTTGGAGTATCTATAGCAGCAATACGGGGTTTTTTGAAAAATTCTCAAGATAATAGTACTATTACGAATTGTTTGCATGGCGACATGAGGTTTTTGTGTGAGAGTATTGTCCTGTAATAACAAACTATCCTTGGACTACTACTTCTACTACATTTGGAGATCCATTTTGCAGATATTTTTCTCACGTCTCCTGTGAAATATTCAGTGCCTCAGATATTCGTTTCAGCCCCATTCGACGGTTTAATAAAATCCTATCATGAACAGCATTGAGATTTACGGAGATGGACAGAGAAATTGGCCTCACTGATCGAAAACTTTACCTGTTTTGAAACTATCAATCCAATTCTTCAGGATCCCATATGAAGGACTTTGATATCTTATTTTATTAGCCTATCTTCGTTAATCTCCTTATGCTATGTTAACACAATATTTTGTTCATTCACAGGCTATAGGTAGACTTTTATATCTAGATATCAATATATCTGGGTGAAATACTTTTCTTGGCATATTGACTGCCTTGAGGAGAGTTTGATATCCACTTGAATAATTTGTAGGCTACTTCCACTAGTCAACACAGAAACCATCTTTTTTGTGTGGAAGTTAGAATATAGGAAGGGGTTTAAATTGAAAAGTTGAAATTCAGGAAGTAGTTTAAATTGAAAAGGAATATATTCTTAGGACAGTTTAATTTTTGGGAAAGAAAGGTTTTGGCTTTCTGCCTCTCCATCTTGATACCAAAAAATGTGGAAATCTTCCAAAAAAAGGAACCAATCAATTTCAAAAAGTAATTATATTCAAAGATGTGTGGATCATGCAAAGAAGTAACTTTCAGACACAAACTGGAAGGAAAAGCCCTCTCGAAACAGCCACTTTCATACAAACATTGAATTACACTAAAGAAAAATACTTTCGAAACAAATACTTTCATATGAACAAGAAACACTTTTTTCTATTCAATTTGTATTCCAAAAATTTTCATTGATAGGCTGAAGAAGTATGCAAGTACAATTTTTCACTAGGCTACATCCAAATATAATTACTTTTCTGATTGATTCGGCCGTTACTTGATGAAGATCCATAGAAATTTCAAAAACTACACCTCACGAATTGATCTCCACAAACTTTATTTGAAAAATATAATCACAACATGTTTCGCTAGCACAGTAGCTTTTTCAAGTGTATGAACCTGAAAAACCTACTGTGCTAGCGAAACATGTGATGATATTTTTCAAATAAAGTTTTTGGAGATCAAATCGTGAGGTGTAGTTTACTTTCTTGTTGAAAATTCAAAATTCACCTAAAATTCGAATTGACTCAGTTGGTACTTCTTCCGAAGTTCTCGCATCTCATTTTTCAGTTAAACTTCTTGTAGGTGTTGGTGTGAGTCGCAAATCAAAATGTCACTTGTCGGTCGTGCCAAGTGAAATGCGAAAAGCACCAACCCAACAACCGATATACAATCATGTAATATATTTAGAACCGCCTTTTCAGCGTTCATAATCTTGTCAGTGGGAGGAGAGATGAAAATAAAAAATTACACTGCCGTTATTGCAAGGAATGTGAAGGAGGCTGTTCGAATGCAATATAGAAATGTATGCAAGACTCGGGTTCATATCTGCAAGACGGCTTCGAAGGAAATTCAATGAACAAATAAAGTACTTCCTCAATCTTCATATATGTGACATTCGTGTTCTGAATAATGACGGCCATAATCGAGATAATGATGATTGATAAGCTCCTTTGTTGTCCCCTATTCTCGTAGAGGAGTAAACCACTGAGTGAAATTTAAATTTAGTAACCTCTCAGGGACGATTGAAATATTGCTTTTTGAATTTTTTTCTGCTTTTTTTTTGCAGGTCACGGGCAATATGAAACTAAATTTAAAGATGGGTACGGGTATCATGTTCTACTAGAATATATTATAATAAACAATTAATTATAAAAATATAGGCTTCGTTCAGTCGAAAATGTTATGTTATTGAAAGTATCGAATATAATTTCTGTAGTTATTTGCTAATTCAATTGTTTGATGAGTAGACAATGTCACGTGGTGGGCACATTAGCATATAAAATAATTCAATAACTACACTAAAACATTTTTTTATAATTTTGAATCATTTCAATTATTTCAGAACACATTGTCGGTGAAGAGATAATTTATATCAAGTGGTATCAGGCAGCAAATTGCGATAAATTTAACCGATCATAAATTGAATTAAGTTTAATGCACATATATTTTGAATTGAAATGAAACATGTAGAGGGCCTATCCGTTGTTAGCTCTTTATGAAAGAAATATTTTAGAGAAAGTCGATTATTGGTGAAAAAAATATATTTTAAGCGAGAAATCTGCATAGAAGAAGAAATAACTTAAATATATCAATGAAAACTGTTTAGAACAAAGAATAGGTCACGGATAATTCTAATACAAGTTACGTATAATGATGACCAATTGAACGATGAAGAAAAACCAATGAGAGGTTGGAGAGTTTACGAGATGAAGAGAAAAACTAAAAGAGGGCATTTTCGTTTTTTCGTCTGTGGCCATATTTTCCAAAATAACAAAAAAATCATCGAGGTATTTTGTTCTTTATAAAATGTAAAACACCATTGATCTTTCTCTTCAAGATGATCACTTGGTGATCGAAACACGTGTAGAGGTGTTAAAATAACGGTTTGGTGTTGGGGGGAAAAAAACTCCAGTAATATTCACCATTGGGAAGTTTGTACACACATTAAAAGCCTCACGAAATTCGTTCATTTCTGTTACCTCTCAAAAACAAACCTACGGATGTGATCAATTAAAAATACGCCACTCTGTTTTTACGGCAACCCTGAGGGGAAAATTGACGAAAGTGGCTTATACTAAACTCTCGCCAAAGTTCCTCGCAAACTATTAATTTATATATTATTTGCCATACGTGCCAGAGAATTCAAGCACAAAGGTCGGAGTCGTCTATGTTGCGGCGTTTCTCGGATGTTTCAGAAACATTATCCAGGCTAATCCCCCTAATGTAATTGGAGGATGCAAGTTTAAGAGCAAGTACTGCAATTGGCGAGAGGTATTGCAAACTTGTGCAATTTCGTTCGAGATTTATATTGAGTTTGGTGGCCTAATAGTTTTATCTTGAGATAAAGTAATTGCTGTTCGACAAACTAATATATCAATTGACAATTTTATATCTTTGAAAAATATTTTAATGCACACCTGCTGCAATGATAATGACTGTCGAATATTCTATGAAATTCTAAATTTAGTGAAGTTCTACGGAGGCTAGTTCAGTCATACAAACCGTTCGATGAGATGTAAAAAATATCGACTTTTTAGTTTCATATCAACATGAAGAAGTTACCTATGCATCGAGAGACCGGTATAGTTTTTTAAA